TTTATATAGGACACCATACATGTATATATATATATATATATATATATATATAATTTTTGTATCAAATTTCACGGTTGGTATAGTCGGTGCGTTTAGTTTTATTGGTGTGAATTATGAAAAGAGGTTTTAGTGAAAAAGAAGAAGAAGAAGAAGAAGAAGAAGGAATAGGAGGAGGAGAAAGAGGAAGAGGAAGAAAAGGGTGATAGACAAAGTGTTAGAAAAATTATTATTATAGAGAAAGAGATAATCGAATATATATTATCATATATATATATAAGTACGTTACTTTTGTATTATTTATGTTTTGATATTTATTTTCTATTAATTTTTTGTTTTATTCTCTACAAAAAATTTGATTCTTTCTTTATTATTCGATAGTTATTATATTTTAATTTTAATTTATGATTAGAGTGTTTCTATGTGTGCTTATTTTTAATAATAAGAATATACGAGAATATACTTTTATTTTTTCTTTTTTTAATTTTCTTTTTCTTTCTCTCTTCTTTCTCTCTTCTTTTTGTTTTATTTTAATTTGTTTTATCTTTTTTTTTTTTTTGTTTATGTATTTTTTCGTATCGTAACGTAACAGTTAGATTATTATTTTATTTCAATGCATAACAGGAAGTGACATTAAAGTGAAGGAAGAAACGGGGGGTTGGAGAGAGGGAGGGAGGAAGGGGACGAAATGAACGAACAATATCAGATGCATCGTTGTAACACGATTGGTGTGTCCTGTTCTATCTATTCGTTGAACTTTTTTCTTCCTCACTTTTTAAACATTTGATTTAAAATTTAATTTCCATCTTTTTTTTCTTCTCTTCCCTATTTTAAACACGAACGATATATTTCAATCGTGTACGATTATTAAAAACTTTATTTAAATTTATTTCACAAGTTTTATATATATTTATATATAAGAAGTAAAAGTTTAAAGTATACGGTATATATAAAAAGATAAACGAATTAATAATTTGAATGCATTGTATTGAAAAATTTGTCCATTTATTTATATATATAAAATAAATATAAACAAATATAAAATAAAATATGTATTAAATATATAATTAAAAAAACGTATATTAATATAAAAATTAAATAAAATTTAATATGAGTTAATTAAAAGTATATATATATATATATGTATGTATGTATATATTGTTATAATACATTAAACAAAATATTTTATCATTTATTTTTCTCTCTCTATCTTTTTTCCATAGTAATAATACATTTTATTGATATCGAAGAAAGTTATTATACGATAGTTAAATACACTTTCGTGTGAATCAGGAAGAGGAAGAAATTCATTTTTCTTTCTTTCTTTTTCATTTTTTATCCTAAGTAGTTACGGTACTAGAAATAAAGACAGAAACAGAGATATATATATACATATATATATGTGTGCGTGTACGTGTATTCGCGTGTGTTTTTGTGTAAGCAAACCCTTGAAATATAGTGCCTTTTATACCAAGTGTCGTACCGGACAGTTAAAGTGGAAAGAGACAGACAGGTAGACACAGACAGACAGACAGAAAGAGAGAGAGTTAAAAAAAAAAGAAAGTGAGAGAAAGAGAGAGAGAAGAAAGATTGTGTTAGTTCCCTTGGACTCTGGTTATGTGCACTTGCATCTTGAGATAAAGTGTTGCACCCGACGTTATGCAAGTGCGTTAGTAGTGCACACTCGACGAGTATCTACCATCGTTTACGATAGAATTTGTAAACAAATTTTTAAACATTTTCTATACCTTGTATATATAGAAGAAGAGTAAAAAAGAATATTTGAAAGAAGATTATTTTTAATGGTATAGAAAAAATAAATGTATCTAAAGTGCGTGGAAAATTGCATAGTTTTCATGCTAGAGAAACGTGTTTGTTTGTTTATCTTTACGAATCGTTACGTTTCTAACGCTTTCAACTAGAAATATACGCGGAAAGGGAAAGAGAGAGGAAAAGAGAGGGAGAGAGAGAGAGAGAGAGGGACAAATTATTTGAAGAAATCAAGGAAATTCTCGTGGGGTGGGGGGAAAACTATTCGATTGAGTGAGGTGTAATGTAAAATTAAAGTTCAAAAATATGTGTTGTTAATATTTTCACAGTTATTCGATTGAATTCACGATTGTTTGGATTTTTGTTTATTGTTGTTGTTGGATTTTATCATCATCTGTGGAAGAAATATCAAATACTCGGAAGATATTGGTGATGATACTTGAGAGAAGATATTTCATTGTCTCGTTAAGGATTCCTCCACATATTTTTTCGGTAAGTTTACTCGTATCACTTTTTCATGAAGAAATGCTAAATTTGAATAATTCATTGAGAGATACATACTAATTAAATATATTTCACAATAAAATGTATTTTTAAAAGTATGGAGAAATATGCAAACAACGATACGCGTACGGATTTAACGTAACGTTCGTTTGAACGGTCTAAACAAATAACAAAATAATACTTTTCTTTTTTTATACACATTACGTACACAAATTGAATATATTTTTCAATTTTTTTTTTGTTACAAATAAAGTTCTCGACAAATTTTTTAAAACAAAGTTAAGAGTTAAACGTACAACCCATAACACAACTATATTCGTAATTTAAATTTTCAATAGGAAACAATTTTTTTTCTTTTTGTTACAAATAAACTTCTCGACAAATTTTTTAAAATGCAGTTTTAAGAGTTAAACGTACAACCACCCATAGCACAACTATTCGTAATTTAAATTTTCATGTATTCTATCGCGATAATTAATTACCAAAAAAAAAAAAAAAAAGCAATCGTTTGATTGTAAAAAGAAATCATAGAAAAGGAAATATTATTTTATAAATGAGTGGTGATGGAATATAGGTAAGGGGGATGGGGTGTGGGTTACGAGAAGGAAATATATAAAAATAAAAAGAAAAGGAAAAAGGAATAAAAAAGAAGAAAAAAAGAAAAAAAAAAGAAAAAAAAAAAAAAGAAAAAGGAAGAAACGTCGATTTAACGCGATAGTGATTACCTAATAGAATCCTTTCTTTCTACCAGAGAAAATGAAACTCTCGTTAAGTGGCGAAGGTACGCGAAGCAAGCAAGTAAGCAAGCAACAAGCAAGCAAGCGAGCAAGCAAAAGCTAGGTATTTCACTGCCGGTGAAAATAAACGACTCTCTTCTGGCGGTAATCGCATACGATCGAGGAAGTGATCGAGCATTATAGTTCGGTGTACCACAGGGTGTTGACTTACGAAAAAAAAACCTCTCTTAAACTTAACTTGTACACTGCGTTACTATATTCTCTTTATTTATTTCTTTTTTTTCACGCGTTGATCGAACATTTGATTTTTATTTTTACTTTGTCCCACCCACCTTTTTTCTTTTTTTACGCGATCAATCGAAATTTTATTATTATTATTATTATTATTATTATATTTAATATTTAATCGGAATTATATATATTATTTGATCGAAAATTTGGAGATAGTACTAATTTATTTTATTTTATTTTCTATTTAATTATTTTCGTGTAATTGAAAATTTTGTAAACGA